CCCCAAAACCCCAAAACCCCAAAACCCCAAAACCCCAATTTTAGGATAAATTATAGAATTAGAATTAGGAAATAAGAATGAGGTAAGGCTTGGAGTGGGTGTTTAAGGCAGATAGGGATTGGAGATAGGAGTATTAAGCGGATATAGTAGAAGAAGAAAGACAGATTCAGGCAGATATTGAGCATCAATTTTCGGTTGCTTCAAATCTCCTTCAAATGTCCAAAATCTTAAAAGGAATAAAAATAAGGTATTTTGCTTTCCATAATCCTTGTTGTCAAGTTACTAAAATTTATTAATAATTCAAAAAATCCTTGCCATCACTAACTTTTCCGTCAGCCTTCAAACAACAGTGAGTCAATAGATTCTGACCAAGAAATTATGGAAGTCCTTCAAGAAAGAAGACAAAGAAGGTTACAAAGGATCCAGAAGAAGATCTTCCGCTCCAGAGTTGAAGAGCCTGGTAAGCTCAAAATACTATCTATTTTCACTTATTATAACTGTTTCGATAGGGAGGTCTCTTCTAAAATTTTGGTTTAGAATGTCCTAATACTTTCCCTAACCAGCCGTTTAAACCAATATAGATGATGGTAGTGAGAGTTCGATCTCTGAACATGGCCACTCCTTTGGAGAGTCCTCAATCACCATTGTGAATGACGAAGTGCTAGACTCTCAGAAAATTAAGAAGCTTCGAAACTTGAAGACTATTAGTTCAGATTCAAGTTCTGGGATTGACTCTAATTATCAGCTCAAGAAGTCATTCCATGCCAAGAATTCAGTGCATAAGTCGAAGAGGTTTAGCAGAGGTAGCCAACAAGGCTCCAGCTCTGAATATCGCTATAACGTGAATGTGAACAACAAACAGCCCTTAAATTTTTCAGCAAATGTAGCAGGGATGGAAGATGTCAGCAATGTAAACTCCAGTTATTTCTGCTCTACCAATAAATCAGGATTTCTCAAGAACTCTCAGACCAAAGCTCAGGTGGATCCACAGAATCCATACAGGAATAGGATGGTCCACAAGGAAAGACTTGATGTGGTCTTTGAACAGAAAAAGGTGCCTGGAACTCTCTATGATAGTTCAAATAGCAACAAAGATGTCGCCTCAACACCTAAGAAAAGTAAGTTGCACTTTCTAAACTCTAGGAGTCAAGCAGTTGAAGCCAGGCAAGTTACTAAGAAATGAGTCTCGTGTTGTAAACCCCATGGAGAGTAACGAACAAATGGGTGAGAAGGTAGCCTTGCCAAGAATCTTGTCACCCACAGCTAGAAATTTGAGGAACAATCAGCATAGACAAATGGCTGGTTATAGCAGAAAACGCCATGTGCTTCAAAGACACGTACTTGATGAACAATAATCCATTACTAGTTATTGTTAACGACATCTAGCTCTTAAACAAATTTCTGGGGTTATAGTAGGATATAGAGGTCATTTTAAGAGATTTATTCGTGAATATCTTACAAATGAGACTAAAAATACACCAAAATAGCAACCAGAACATTTCTAAATATAGGCTGACGTTCGCGAGGAAACTTTATTTCTAATTGTAACACAATTTCTTTAGTCAAATTTCGCTAAATTGTTATATTAATAATTGCTTATCGTTAATTTCTTTTTATAACACTCTTTAAGGTAGCTTAATAGCTGCATCTACTAGGGCTCAATCTTAATATAAGCTGCACAATCTGGGTTTGCTTGGCTGGTTGGTCACTTTCCTGACCTGTACGTATAGTAAATCTCAAGAGTGATCATGAATCTGTGTGTAGCTTTAGTCATGGACATTCAGAAATTTCTAAATCCATCACTCATAATATACGATATTTGGCTAAATTTGTGAAAACAATTTCAAATTCTATGCAGAGCATTTATTGATGAAGACCGTTCGGAACTTCCTTAGGTGGTGTAGCTGCAGAAGAAACTTCATATAGTCTGGTGTGGCTTAGCTGTATGAGTAGATCAGCTTAGAGCCCCTCTTTAGCAATATGAATTTTTCTAAATAGGCATGAATGAAGGGATTTTAATGTCATAAATTCTGATAATATTGTCATGCACAAAAGCAACCAAGGAGGCCTGAAATGAGTGAGATAAATATATGAACAATTTCCTTTATTTTTAAAGAATTTCTAGGCTGTATAGACGTCTAATTTTTCATTGGAAGACAGTTACGATGAAAGCAATGAATTTTTCAATTATATAAATATAAAGGGGTTTTGGGGTTTTGGGGTTTTGGGGTTTTGGGG